ACTCATTTCTTTTTCCCATTTAATTTAGTTGTTTGAATTTAACCCTTAATTTATATTTCCTGATTTATTTATGATTATTTTTTTGTTTTTGTTTGTTTGTTTCCAAATGAATGAATGAATGAATGAAAGACAAACAAACATAAATTTAAATTTTTCAAAAAAAACGGGTATAGAAAATTCAAAGGAATTAATGAATTGCTTGTCGTTCTTTTCTTTTTTTACATGTGGTTTCCACCAACACACATCACACACATCGAGAATGCTTTCCAAAAAAATAACATAATTTAGATGTTGATGGTGACAATTATCACCTTGGTTTTTTTGTTCAAAAAGAAGATTTATATTCATTTTGTTGTTGTTTGGTTTTTCTTCACTCTTTACTTCTTAATAACAGCAACAAAATTTTTTTTTTCGTATTTAAAAAGAAATTCAAAATGGAAATTTTCGTTTTTTCTTGTTTTGTTTTTCTTCTTCTTCGCGCTCTCAATAATTCTTCGGAAGTTTGAAATATTTGGATTAAAATGTATTGAAATAACACACACACACACACGAATAAACATAGACATAGCCAGGCAATGTCGATTCTTTCTCCTCTCATGGATGTGATTATTATTGCATATTTCATTCATTTTGATGTTCATGGTACAGCCATCAGTATAATAAATTAAATAGGGAGAAATGAAAAAAAAAGCCGAATCAACCGTTTTTTTTTCTTCTTTCATTTTCTCGCTTGAAAACACACATAAGGCAGACACAGACAAACATTGATTCATTCAAAGTGTCGGCGCTTAATTCCAAAAGCAACAAACACACATAACGATGGCGGCAAATTTTCAAACATCAATGTGGTTTTTTTGTGGTAATAACGATGCTGATGATGATAATAATGATGGTGGTGGTGGTGGAATTTCTAGTCTAGTGGGTGGATGGGTGTATTGTGTGTGGGGGGAGTTTAATGCCAAAAAAAAAGATTTTCCAAATAAACAAAACCAAAAATTTGTGGTCCAAGTTCGTAAATAACCAACAAAAAAAAGGACCATATTTTATCTTTGATGATACAACAAATGTGTGAGGAAAAGAAAAGAGCTTCGCAGAAGAAGAAGAAAAGAGAAAAGCAAAAGAAGAAATAAATTAAAAACCAAATCAAACAATCAGAAATTGATGTGTGATGCTGAAGAAGAACCGACACATTTTGCCATTTTTTTGAATGTTCCACTGTAAATCTACTTTCTGAATTAGTTGATTTGTATCGATGTTTTATAGAAAGAAAAAATAATGATGAATAAAAACATCATTAAACACACACTGAAATGATTTGTCGTTCATTTGCTGCATAAATAATTTTTATTTTTCAAACGCTTCTGGTTAAAAGTTTGATGTACCATTCCACCGTTCGAAAAAAAAACATTGCCATAGACATGATGAATGTTGCTGACACTTTTGAAATTATCTTCAATTTCTTTCCCCCCGTTTGAATCAAAATTTTTCAACGAAAAAAACAAAACAAAAAATCAATTAATCAAGCGATTCCTGATGTCTAGAATTTGCCCTGTTCAAATGAATTTTGATTTTTTTTATTTTTCGTTGTATTTTTATTTCCTTATTACAATTTACAACTTGAAATTTATAATTCAAAAATTTTGATTGCCAATGGCAATTATACAATGGCGTTGATTGATATAATAATTTTTTGTTGACTGCCTTAACACTTTACATTCCAAAATGTTTTCTCTCTTTCCAGTCAATCATTGATGGTTTTTTTTATTGTTGTTGTTGTTGTTGTTGTTATTGAACATCTTTTATTCATGATCATTAACAACAACAACAAGTCCTGAATCTAAATCTGAATTTGACGTTTATTTTGACTATAGGAAATGATTTTTTCGATCGAATAAGAAATCGATGATTGATCGATCAATCGATTATCTGCTATCAATGTATTTTCTACAGTGAATTTGATATTTTCTCGTTGATTACAATATTCACATGATAATGAACGGGGAATGATGATGATGATGATCATCATCATAATAATCTTGTGCCCTTTTAATTTCGCAAAAGTGATTGTATAATCACATCAAAACATTTACATAATTATAGAATGTTCAATGTTGCTTTCAATGTTGTTTCGATATAGCCGAACAAAATCAAATGAAAAACTTGATTTTCTTTTTCTCCACTTATTAGCATTAATTGATTGATCATCATCATCATCATCATCGATAATGGATTAAATTTTCAGAATGGTTCATTTCTAGAAGAATTTGTTATTCATGATTCGACATTGATGATGATAAGATTTTTTTTTTGTTGAAAAAATATTATCAATTTGTTGAATATTGATGAAGTATCAGATGATGATGGTCAAAAGTCAATCGAAATTAATGTTGTTGTTGTTGAATAATGATGATGATTATTGATATCTTGTTTTTGGTTACAGCCAATATATCTTTGAAAAGATATTTCTCTCACTGCAAGGTACGGTAATTAATACGGTTCGCTATAGACAGATTCATTAATCATTTTGTTTTCCATCCCGAAAAAAAAGATAAATTTTTTTTTCATTTCTTATCATCATCATCATCATCATCATCATAAGATGTTTATGATGATATTTGATTTGATTTGAGAAAAAAAAAATCAAATCATTTAAAAATCTAAATGTCAATCGCTTGGCGCCCAAAAAAAATCATTTGCTGTTCAGCTAAATAAATTGCGGATTTTCCTTCCCCCCACAAAAAAAAGATTGATTATATCATGATCATCAACAACCAAATTTGCAATAAAAGGTTTATGTCACCTGTATGGTTGTTAATTATCATTTTTTTACTTTAGAAATGATGCTTTGGACTCTTTTCAACAACAACAGCAACAAAAAAATTAAGATGTTATCGTGACTATCTTTAACTGCAACAACGTTTTGAAAACAACATTAAAACACATTTTGAACAAAAATTAATGAAACAAAAAAAATATCATTTTTAATTGAAATAATAAATTTTAAATGTTTTAAAATTCATGTGTGTTTATCATATATATGTAATCATTGTGTGAATTAAGATTTTTCTTCTTTTTCTTCTTCTTCGTTTAATGATGATAACTAAATAACTAACTATCGTGTGTTTAAAATCAATTTGTTTGATTTGCAGTTTATTTTGTTTAAAATGAAAAGCCCCATAATGTTGATTGTTATCTTTATCTGATCATCTGATCTTAACGATGATGATAATGATGATGATGGTTTTTTTTGTTCCAACTAGTTTCAATTTAATTAGAAAATTTTTTTCACATTCTCTTTTGATGATTATTAACTGATTGTTTTCATCACTTGTGAACAACAACAACAACAAATGTTTTCGCACAAACAAACATGCAAAATATCAATCAATTAATCGAACTGATTGATTGATTAATTTTATATGGGAGTCAATCATGTAATCGTGTTATCCTATGTGTATCCTTTTCTTTATTGTTGTTGATTTGAAACGAAAAGCGTGAAAATTGTTTTTTCGTTCTTTCCACTTTGTCTTATTTTATATTGACAATGTTGTTGTTTTGAGGGGGGAAATCAATGAAATGTTTTTCTTTTCTTTTCTTTTCATGTTTTACGTTTCACCCACATCATCATCAAAAATTATTGAATAAATAATGATTGCTTCGGTTGAAAATCATGCAAACAGCAAACAGCAACTGATTAAAATCTAATTAATTCAAACAAACAAACAAAAAATGTCATTAATCGTTTAATCCACATGTTTTTTCCAATACTTTTTCCATTTAAAAATTGTAATTTGTATTGAAATTATCGAAAAGGTTTAACTAAAACAGCCAAAATCGATTATTGTAACTAAAAAATCGATTTGAAAAAAGGATTTTCATTAATCAAAAAAACTGAAACGAAACACTATCACCAATCTATTGATATATCGAAATTAATTTTGACAGTTGAAAGAAAGAAAAAAGAAAAAAGAAAACATTAATTTGTTATCATGTTAAACTCCTTAGTTTCAGCTCTTTTTTTACGCAAAAAGGAATAAATTAATTTTTTTTGAATATAAATCAAATCAAAAAAGGTTTTTTCCAATGACAAGCCATTGCAGTCAAGCAAAACAACAAGCAACGATAAATTTGATTTAGCTGACGATTTGAAATGTGAATGATTATGGAGAAAAAAAACGAGATAATGATGATGATTATAACTTGAAAAGATATTATCAATTTGATCAATTTATCTTCTTTCTTCTTTCTTCATCATCGTATCAGTTATAGATGATAAATCCTGACAGATTTTTTGGAAAAATTGATTTCAATTAAGTTATATAGGGGAAAAAATGGAAGAAAAAGATAAGATTTTCCAATCTGATTGACTCAATGATGATGATGTTATATCACACCACCGTTATGATCACATCATCAATATTCATTCAGATACGCATACAGGTATTTGAAATACGATTTTTTTTTGCTTCGAAAATATTAATAATTCCCTCTTCTACATATGCCCGATAGCATAATCGGGTCGTAAGTGATCATCATCATCATCATCAATTACTTTTGCGGTAACAGTGACACACATATCATTCAATAAATGTTGACCCTTGTTGTTCAGTTTATCGATTTGATTCAAAATGATTGAATGATTTTTTTTTTTGGTTTCACCACCATCATCATCATCATCTTGTAATCAAATATTTTGATGAAATGACGGAAACGATCACAGATCAATCAATCAATCAATTTTTATCGATTTTCGATTGTCATTTTGTTTTCGTGAAAGAAAAATACCGAAAAGAAACCGACAACATTTTTGGCATAAAACAATTTAATTTTATTTAATAAAAAATTTTCGTTAAAAAAAATTATTTAAAATCATCACAAATGTTGTCCTGAAACAAACAAACAAAACAGAAAAATTTGACTTAATCATCAAATGTCAATATAGTTGAGAAAGAACTTTTTTCAACATTTCTAAACCAATAAATTAAAAATGGATATTTTGATTGTAAATTTTCATCAAACAATGGTGATGATGATGATTGTTGTTCATCATCATTATCATTATCATCATCATTATCATCATGAAATGATTGTCGTTTTTTCAATGCTAATTTTACAGCATTATAAACATTATCATCAATTTTTTCTTTTTGTCCACCATTTATATAGAAAAAATCGATTAATATTTTCGGATGATGATGATGATATTCATATTCAGGTTTTGGACTTGTTGGTGGTGTATAGTAAATATCATTGTCATCATCGTCGTCGTTGTTGTTGTCATTGAGAGAATTTTCATCATTCAAATCATGAAATTCATTGTCTTCCAATAATTGTCCATTTTCATTCATTGATTTTATTTCCATTTTTGATAATGATTCTATAAGATATAATTCATCATGTACTGAACGTAGATAATCATCTAATTTTTTTAAATATTTTTCTTGAGAAAAATCAACAAATTCACCAAGAAATGGCCAATATTCACAATATTCTAAATCAAATTCTTTACTTAATTCACAAACAACACGTTCAAGTCCACGTTCTGGATCTTGTAAACGAATTTTTCTTTGTTCAGGTGTACATCGTTTTGGACTTTTAAATATTTCGTAAATTTTTTTTGATTTTTCTGTTGTCATTGGACCTACAATAGCAGATATTTGTACATTTTTTTCTGGAGTATTTTTCAATGTTGATTCAAGCATTTTCTTTCCAACCTGACATGCTTTATTAATTGATTTGTCAAAATTATCTACCGATTTTGTTACCGTTATGAACACAGATGAATTAATAAGTTCTTGAACTTTTTTTCGTAATGATGATTCTTGAACAACTTGATAAGGCAATAGATTTTGTTTGTTTAATTTTTGTGTATCCAAAACCGGTATATAACCGACTAGAATAGTAATACATTCTAAATCACCAAATTTACAAGCCATATGTAATGGTGTATCGAAATTAACTTTATCGGGTGAATTTAGATACATATCTAAAAGATGATCACGTTTTTCAATTAATGATTCTTCAGCGAAATTCGGGTTCATTTTTTGAACAAAATCAACCGAATTAATTGTATCGAGAATAAAATTCAAAATTTCTGGACTTTTGTTACGAATAGCTAAATGAACAGCATTATAACGAGCACCTTGGACAATTATGGTTGGACTGTCAAAATAATTTGATATTAGATAACGTGGATTATTGTAAACAAATTGTTGAACCGAATCTAATTGTTTATTTGTAATGGCACGTTTAAAAACATTTAGATCACGTAATTCGATTGATGGAAATGGTGGAGCTTCTTCCATTCCAGTAGATTTTGAACCAGAAATTATTTGACTTGAAGATGGACTATTATTTGGCGATGATAAAATATGATTGGAAGGTGTATTTGTAATAACATCACAGTTTTCTTCCAGAACAAATTTCAAGGCTTCATCATATTGAGCAAATGATTTAAATCTTGAACCTTTATAACGTTTGATTAATTTCAGTATTTCATTTTTATCATTCGACATAAAATGTTCAGGATTAAATCCAGGTGATGGAATTGTTATTCTTGCCTGTTGTGGTATACAGGCAGCATAGAATATCATATCGGTTCCAATATCCATTATGAATCTATAAAAATCGTATCATTGGTGGCATAACTAAACGAAAGAAGAAAAAAAAATGATAATAAATTAGTGAAAAATTTAAATTTAAATTGTTTTACAATGAACAATTTGGAGATTTTTTTTGAATTAAACAATAATTTTTTTGACAACGAACAAAATGGCAAATGTGTTTGTTTATCATCACAAACAAACGAATCAAAAACAAAAAACAATCCATCGACCTTTCATAACCAATGTATCCAATTTTTTCACGTGATCGATCCATGTGCTTGAATTTGATCAAATCATTTTTTTCAAATTAAATGTGATTAAAAAACAATTGAAACAAAACGAAAGATGCGTTCCAAAATTTTATCCACATTATGGGAATTAGCAATCAATAATAAATTAACATCTGCATTAGCTGTTGGTATAACATTAATATTAACAACAGGTGTTTATCGTAAATTACAACAAAATTATCCAAAAGTGAAAAAATTTTATAAAGATTCTAAACAACCAAAACAACAACAATGTAATTGTATGAAAAATAAACCTAAATTGAAAATTTTATATGGATCAACTGCTGGTAGTAGTCGTCGTTTATCGAAAAAATTACAACAATTATTAAAAAATAATGATTCAATATTACAAATATTTGAATCAATTGAATGTATTTGTACTGATCAATATGATCCTGAAGATGAATTATTAAATGATGCTTCGAATGGTAATTATTTGATTATATTAATGCCAACATTTACTGGTGGTGAACCACCCGAAAATGCTCGTTGGTTTTGTCAATGGATCAAAGATGCTGCAAATGATTTTCGTTTATCAAAAAATGCTCTTAGTCAATTAAGTTTTGCTATATTAGGTATTGGTGATTCGATTTATGGTGATGATTTTTGTCTTTGTTCATTTAAATTAACCAAAGCATTAAAACAATTAAGTTCAAGATGTTTATATAAAACAAGTGTATTAGATCGTTCGGCTTTAGAATCAATTGAAGATCAATTTCAATTATGGTATCAGAAAATTCTTTCCATTTTAATTGAACAAGAAACTAAATGTTGTTCATCAGATAGTTCATCTGATTCAACAAATTATTCTACATTTGTAAATGTTGGTGATGATAGTGTCAATGCTGATGATGATGATGATGATGATGGTGAATTTGATGAAGATTATGCCGAAGAATATGAATCCAAAAGAAATGATCAAATAGTAACCGATCTTGAAGATATTGTTACAAATACTGAAAAGAAAAAATCCGCTTCCAATAATAATAATAAAAAACAACCAATACGAGATATGTTAACAACGGATCTAAGAAAAGAATTAACAAAACAAGGTTATAAATTGATTGGTACACATTCGGGTGTAAAACTTTGTCGATGGACAAAATCAATGCTTCGTGGACGTGGTGGTTGTTATAAATATACATTCTATGGTATTGAAAGTCATCGTTGTATGGAAGCAACACCAAGTTTAGCTTGTGCAAATAAATGTGTATTCTGTTGGCGTCATCATACAAATCCGGTTGGAACTGAATGGAAATGGAATATGGATCCGCCGGATATGATTTTTAACAATACTATGAATGCACATTATGCAATGATCAAACAATATAATAGTGTTCCAGGTGTATTACCCGAAAGAATTGATGAAGCTATGCATGTTCGACATTGTGCATTATCATTAGTTGGTGAACCGATTATGTATCCAGAAATAAATGAATTTATTCGTTTACTTCATTCGAAAGAAATTTCTACATTTTTAGTTACAAATGCACAATTTCCAGATGAAATTAAACGTTTAGATCCGGTTACACAACTTTATGTATCGGTTGATGCATCATCAAAAGTTTCATTGAAAAAAATCGATAGACCATTATTTCGTGATTTTTGGGAACGTTTTAATGAAAGTCTTCGATTACTTAGTTTTAAAGGACAACGTACTGTTTATCGTTTAACATTAGTTAAATCATGGAATTCCGAAGAAATTGATGGCTATGCAAAATTGGTTATTCTTGGTCAACCAGATTTTATTGAAATTAAAGGTGTAACATATTGTGGTACAAGTATGAATGAATCAAATCTAACAATGAAAAATGTTCCATGGCATGAAGAAGTGGTTAGATTTGGAAAAGATCTTCTCGAAATAATTAATCAACAAATTAAACAACGAAAATTAAATCAATCTGGAATAAGTGGATATTCGGAAAATTTTGATTCTGAATTATATGGTTTAGCTTGTGAACATGAACATTCAAATTGTTTACTTTTAGCACGTCGTAAATTTTATATCAATAATCAATGGTATACATGGATCGATTATTCGAAATTCAATCAATTAATTCAAGAATATTATCGAACAAATGGTGAACGAACATTTACATCCATTGATTATTTAGCACCAACACCAAAATGGGCAACATTTGGTGCTAGTGAACAAGGTTTCAATCCAAACGATACAAGATTTCGTAAAAAACGTAATCATACATATGATAAAAATTAAAATTAAATTAAATTATTTGAGAAAAGCAAATGAAAAAAACTGACAAATTTTTATTTATTATTATTATGCTAAACACACACACACACAATCAAATATTCTAAGCATCATTATTATAATTATAAAATTATATAAAAATGCATGAGTATTATTATGGTTATTATTATTATTATTATGCTAATTACGATAACGAAGCGGTGGTGATAAATCACCAATTAGATTGCCAATCGAAGCATTTGTCTTATTGATATTGGTCGTTGTTTCCAATGTTGATGATGATGATCCATTACGTCGATAAGGAACTGGTCGTTTACGTGCACTTTTTTCGGATTGATTACGGATTACATTAAAGCAAGAAAAAAGGGAAAATATATTTTTTCGGTTAAGTTACATTAATTAAAGATTAATGAAAATCTATAAATCTCATCAGGCATCTATTGATAATGTGCAAAAAAAATCAATATTTTTAATCATGGAATCAAAATGATAAAAAAAAGTGAAATAAACAAACAAACAAAAAAAAAGTAAAATGAAATAAAAAATGTATTGAAAAAAATGAAATGAAATGTGTCTATTGGTGAGTGAATATAAGTGGTGAATGTGAAAATGAACGAAAAAAAAATGAAAAGAAAAAAAAAGATGTGATTTCAATCAAAAAAAAAAACAAATGATAAATGAAGGTGATGGTCTTCAATAGTCCGATAATATCCAATTACTATTTACTAATGATACCTGGTTATACGTCGTTTTTCAAGAAAACTTGGTGAACCTTGTCGTCTTGGTATAGATGGACTACGAGATCGTGAATATCTTTAGATCATGGGGGGAGGTGAATAAAACAATGAATGTAATTTTGATTAAGTAATTAAGTAAAAGTTTTTTAATTAATTACTTTTTCATTTTTTTATTTGATCGTCTGATAGTCGGACTGTTGTTGTTATCACTGCTCATTGAAGATACCGAATCAGATATCGACGCGGATCGTGAACGTTGACGTTTTCGATTATTTTTATTTTGGCGACGATGATTTTTATTATCATCTTTTTCGTCTTCAGAATACGATGATGATGATGGTGATAATGAACGATTTCGTGGTGATTTCGAATGATGTGATCGTCGTGCACGAATTGGACTGCGACTTTTAGATCTAGATGAATATTTACTTCGATGATGATGATGATGACGGTATGATGGAGATTTTTCATTTTTATCATCTTGACGATGGCGACTAACTCGCTGATGATGATGACCTGATGAAACAACCGATTTTATTCGATTTTTTGACGATTGATAGGGAGAAATTTCTTTGTCGCCATCATTACGACGGCCATTTGTCGGTGGTGATTTAGAATGTTTTCTTGGTGATAAAGAATTCCTGCGATGATGACGACGATGATGATGATCATCATAAGATTTTTGTTTGATTTCAGCACCAATTGGTGATTTTGATCTTGATTTACGTGTTAAGGAATGATGACGATTAGTTGATGATGAATGTGAATGTTTTTGTTGACTTCGATGTCGATGTTTTGATGATAAAGATTTTTTACGATAGGAATCATATGATGATCTACTTTTAGAACTATTACTATCTGATTCACTACTATCGGTACTACTTGGTTCTTCTGATTCTGAATCCGATTCTGAAGATGAATCGGATGAACTATTCGATTCTGAGCTACTTGATGATGATGACGACGATGATGAACTTTCCGATGATGAATCATCATCATCATCTGAACTTGATTCTTTTTTAATTTTCTTTTTACTTGTTTTAATAACAACATCTTTTTCTTCATTACGAATATTTTTATTATTATTTGATTCATTTTGTTGTTTTCGTATAGTATCCTGTATAAAATCTTTATTAGCTTTTAACATTTCTTCTTTAGCAGCTTGTTGTTCTTTTGCTTTACGTATAATATCCATTGATGAACCGGCAACAAAATCATCACTAATACCTAATGCTGATTTTAATTTATCATTACGATTACGATTCATTTCGGCCAATTGATGTGTTTCTTTAACACTAAAAAAGTAAATTAAAAAAAAAATCAATTAAATTATTCATCAGTAAAAACATTTTTTAAAAAAAATCAAGCAATTATCATTTTATAATGAGAAACAATCACGTTTTACAAGTCTACTACGAGAGAAAAAAAATAACAGGAAACCAACAAAATATTACAAATTACATACCTTAAACAACTTTTTATCTTAAAAGAAGATGAAGCATTTTTACAATTATAAAATGAATCATTATTAGAATATTTTTTATCATTATTATTATTATTAAGATTAAGATTATTATTATTATTATTTAAATGATTATTATTTGTAAAACGTAATGATGATGATGATGATGATATGTTTTTATCATCATTATTATTATTATAACGATTATTATTCTTGGATAATTTTCTTTGATTATAATTTAAATTCTTATTAATAAAATGATGATGATTATTATTATTATGAATAAATGGCTGTTGTTGATAATGTTTTTGTCGTTGTTGTTGTTGTTGACCTAAAATTGAAACAGCAGTTGCAGCAGCCGTTGCTGTTAAAATTGTTTCAAATCTTTTCATTTGATTACGTTTACGTCTAATACGACGTTTTGCTGCAGAACTTAATGGTTTTATCTGATTATTATTATTATCTAATAATTGTTTACTATTACTAGTACCATCTATATTATTTGAACCTATACTATTTCTATTATTATTATAAATACAATATTGAAATGGTGTTGATATTAAATGATTAGTAAATGCATTGAATAATATCTGATGTGGACAATATAATGATGATAATGATGACGATGTTGATGAGGTATCATGATTACAACAACATTGTTGTTGTTGTTTCGATGATGATCGATCATTCAAAATTGTTGAATTTGTTGCCGATCCAAGAATCGGACGTATCATTGGTATTATTGATGATACATTTTTTTGATTCATTTCAGGTTTATTATTATTATTATTATGATTATCATTCAAATTATTAAGGGTATTTGTATTTTCCATAATTCTACATTCTATAAGTAAAATTATGTATGATTCTTTTAACAAAAAGGTGATATGATTTGGTAATTTGGAAGACAAATCTGTGGAAGACTTGGATTGTTGTTTGTTTCGTTTGAAAAAATGGCTGAAGAAAACTTAGACCATTTCGTTGTTTTGGAAGACATTCATTCAAGTAAGGCACTGAAGATATGTAAGATTTGATCGTTTGGTTTTTATACCAACATGATAATCATCATCATTTAGTTTGGTCACTTTGGAAAAAAATACATAATGACCATTAGCAGCAAAAAGTTTTTTTTTGGAAAAAAAATTCGTTGCGTTTTATCTTTTTTCTAATTTTGTTTTCGATGATCAACAACAAAAGTGACAAATTGAATTTGAGAAAATCTTTTGTCAAGAATAAATCAACTGTAAATATCGAATGATAAGAATTTTTTTTTCTTTTGAATATTCAATTTTTTGAAAAATATCAAAAAACAATTTAAAATAAAATAGAGAAAAATTTTTTTTGATTGAAATCAACCAAAAGAGTCGGCCATTTTGCCATTCAATATTCAGAGAATTTTTGTTGTTGTCTCAAATAGGCCCGTCAACAACAACAACAACAACGAGCATCAATTTCATTCCAAAACTGAATTTTTTTTTTTTTTTTTGGTTCGGGTAAATTAGCAATATTATATAGAGATGCTAAACATCATTGGTTATAATCGGGTGTTATCGCATGTGTGTGTGTATAGTGGGAAAAAAACTTGACGCCAACATCCATTAATAAGTAAATGTTACGTAATGGATTCTGTATATTCTGTAGCTATATAGCGATAGAATTGGCTATAGAATTTAGAAACAAAGTTGCTTGTTTCGTTCGAAAACAAGAAAGAAGATAAGAAAAATTTTCGTTTTTTGAGATTGGATCAATGAAAAAAGTTAAGATAAAAAAATTGTCAAAAAAAGAATGAAATTATGCAAAGGAACAAAACTTGAAAAAAATTGAATTTTAAAAGAAATAAACCTTACCCTTTACTTTGAAGAATTTCATCAATAAATTCTTTTCGATTTTCTAAGGCTTTTTTCATTTTTTGTTGTAATTCTTGTCGATATTCATCTACACGTTTTTGTATCTGATCTTCGGTTAGCCTGAAGTAATTTTTTTCGGAGTAAAAAACAGAATAGAGAATTACAATGAAATTAAAAAATCGAATCAAAAAATAATAAATAAACATACCCTTTCTTTTCTAATTTTTCTTCCAATTCTAAACATTGTACTTCAATTTTACGTTTACGATGATGTTCAAGTATTTCTTCATTTGGTGCTTTTATATATTCGGATTCAAATCGACGAATTTCTTCCTCGGTTTTATAATCAATTTTTGGTTTTCCAACATGAACAAAACTAAGATTACGTTGAACATAACCATTGGTACCGCTTCCACGAGCGGTTTGTAAACCAATTCCATTGTACATTATTCTTCTTTTCGAATCGATTAATTGAAGAATTTATTAATTAAAATTACAATTTGTAAACAGAAAAGTAAAAAAAAATTGTCGAGGTTTCCAACTAATCACAATGACACAAACAGTGAGCACACATTTGCAACCGATTTCAGTATTTCAATGTTTTCTTTTGATGGTTGGAATTCTGGAATCTCATTTATGAATGTATCAACAACACGAGGACCGACACGAACACCGAAAAAATTAAAAAGAAAAGAAAAGAAAATTTTGTTGTCGATTTATTAAATATCCACGTTTTAATTTAAACGTTTTATTTTTAAATTAACTTAATTATCAATGGGTATACTCGATCGGATTGCCGAAATTGAACGTGAAATTTCACGTACACAAAAAAATAAAGGTATTTTTTAAGTTTGGTTCAATGTATTTCTGTGTGTTAAATTTTGTCTGTTTATATTTCAGCTACCGAATATCATTTAGGTGTATTGAAAGCTAAATTAGCTAAATATCGTGCACAATTATTAGAACCAAGTAAATCAAAAGAAAAAGGTGAAGGTTTTGAAGTGCTTAAAAGTGGTGATGCTCGTGTTGCATTGATTGGATTTCCTTCGGTTGGTAAATCAACATTATTGAATACGGTTACAAATACACATAGTGAATCTGCATCATATGAATTTACAACATTAACCTGTATTCCCGGAGTTATTGAATATAAAGGTGCAAATATTCAATTACTTGATCTACCCGGTATTATTGAAGGTGCTGCACAAGGTAAAGGTCGTGGACGACAAGTTATAGCTGTAGCACGTACTGCCGATCTTGTTATTATTATGTTAGATGCAACAAAAAGTGAAGCACAACGTCATCTTTTGGAACAAGAATTAGAATCAGTCGGTATACGTTTGAATAAAAGACGGCCAAATATTTATTTCAAAGAAAAGAAAACTGGTGGTGTTTCATTTAATTCAATGTGTAATCTAACAAGAGTTGATGAAAAATTGGTTCAAATGATTCTACATGAATACAGTTAGTTAATGCAATTTATAGATTTGATTGTTTTCAAATGAAAATCATTATTTTTTTTCTACATTCACTTTACATAGGAATATTCAATGCTGAAGTATTGTTTCGAGAAGATTGTTCACCAGATGAATTTATCGATGTAATATGTAAAAATCGTGTCTATCTACCTTGTCTATATGTTTATAATAAAATTGATCAAATTTCTATGGAAGAAGTGGATAAATTGGCTAGACAACCACATTCAGTTGTTGTTAGTTGTAATATGAAATTGAATCTTGATTATATGTTGGAAACAATTTGGAATTATCTTTCATTAATTCAAGTTTATACTAAAAAACGTGGTCGTATGTTTTATTTTCTGAAAAAAATTACATTCATTTTCCTAATAAAAAAACCCCTTTTTATTCCAGAACCACCTGATTTTGAAGATGGATTAATCATGAGACGTGGATCATTAATCGAACATGTTTGTCATACAATTCATCGAACATTAGCATCCGAATTTAAATATGCTTTAGTTTGGGTATGTGTTTATATTCAACGATGACACTGGGGGTTAATCTTAATTTTTTTCAACCTAATTTTAAAACAAACCAGGGTACCAGTACTAAATATAGTCCACAAAGAGTTGGCTTAAATCATGTATGTTATTACTGAATAATTTATTTTAATTCAATTTTAAAATCAATCATTTTTTTTTTGTTTTAATCATCATACAAATAGGTTGTACATCATGAAGATGTTGTTCAAATTGTTAAAAAATGATGGCCAATATTGTAATAATTCGAATGAATTGTATCTTTGTTTTTTTAAATTTATAATTTTTTTATAATAATAAATTCTATTAAGATTCGAATAAATAATTAGTAAAAGGCGTTGGTGGTTTTATAAATTCAGCTGTAATTGAATTTTCTTCATCAGTACTTTCAAGTGCATCTTGATTAACTTGACCATCATTACCATTACATGTTGATAATGATGATGCTGTACCGGTAGAAGTGGATGTATCATCTGATGAATCATCATTATCATCACCATCATCATCGAAACAACCTTTACGAAAACCATCAAAACCACAATCATTTTTTTTATTCTGCTGATTAATATTTAACATTTGTTCTTGAACACGACGTTTTAATAGATTCATATTCATTTCAAGTAAATCAACTGGTGATTTATCTACAGTAATTGGAGATTGTTCAACTACTACCAGTTTTTCATTATTAGGATTATTATTATTCATTGTTTCGGATGATTTTTTTATTTGATGATTATTATTTGGCAATCTAGTTATGATTGTATTTTGATTTTGATTTTGATTTTGATCTTCATTTTGATTTATCATCATCATTTGTTCAACATTATTCATTGCTGTTTTTGTATCCAAATTAATCGAACGATGAAAAATTTCTAATTTTTTAAGGCTTGTAGGATTCGATATTAATATTTTAAAATCTTCTTCACTAATAAATTTAATTGGTTCATCATCTAATTCTAATTCAAAATCGGCAATATCTTGTGATGTTGATGTATCACCAGCACCATCGGCTTCATCATCATCATCATCGTCGTCGTCATCGTCTTCGTTATCATCGTCATCATCATCTTCACAACAATCATCATCATCATCTTCATCGATAAATACAGGATTATTCATTGAACCACCACCACCACCATCATTATTATTGTTTTGTAAAATTTGATTCAATTTTGATTGATTTATTTGTTCAAGCCAATAACGATATGGATTGTGTATTGATTGATTGGTTGTTGGTTGAGTCTGTGTTGGCTGTTCCCTTTTCTCATTATTATTGTTATTGTCATTATCTAATTCTTGTTGTTGTTGTTGATTAACAGGAAAAAGATTTTGATAATCTTTAGGTGGTTCAATAATTGCAACATGAAATGGAATCTCTTCCATTGATTCGGGATGATTATTAACAACAATTGGTTCTTGTTTTGCTATCTGTTTGGTTTGATTAGATAATCCATTCTTTGTTGTTGAATATTGTTGTTGTTGTTTCGGCTGTTGTTGATTATTCGATTGTCCACAATTTCGTTGATGACGTTGATTACGATGACGATGATAATTATCTTTATTAACATTTGTATGAATATTTGTTTTCAATGGTAGTGTATAATAATTATTATTACTAATACGATTTTGTGAATCATAATAATTTTTAAATGCTTCTTCAAATGTTGTATATATTTGTTGATGATATTCAGTACTATTACCGATACTTGATGCAAATGTAAAAACATCAACTAAACTTGGTTGTTGTTGTTGTTGTCGATTTTGTTCTTCTCCATTCATTAATTCAAAATTATGATTGTCCGGTGAATGATCAATATCTGTTGATTGTTCTTTGTTTGATGATTGATTAATGGTTGAAGATTCAAATGGATTAAAATAACTTATATATGGTTGTGTTGTTGGTTGAATGGATATTGCATTCGGCACTTGTACAAATCCTTTAGCCAATTCTCCTTCATCTTCATCAATACATTCAAATGAATTGGCAAAATCATTCAAATATTTTGACCATTTTGAATGATTTTCAGTTGATTCATTAGAACTATGAATAGAATTATCAACTGATTGTAATGATTGTTGACAATATTTAGAAGTAAAATCAGTACGTGATTGTTCAACATTATTAAATAAAATTACATTCGTTTCAAATTGATGACCAGATTCTATATCATCATTTGATGAATTTTTCGAAAAAATCAAATTTGTTTGTTGATTTGGTAATAATAATAATTCTACATTATTATTGGCAGTATTTAATTGATAACGAATTGTTTGACTTTTATTAAAACTGGAATTTGATCCTAAATTGGAAGACGATTCATTACTATATGTAGATGATGATGATGAAGTTTTCAAAATGGATTTAGAATTTATCGAATTATTAGCATTCATATTGGACAGTTGTGATACTGAAAATCGTGGTATAGCCATATGAGGAGGTGGAAGTAGTGGATGTTTACGACGATGATGATGATGATGATGTGAAAATGTTGAATCATCAGCATCATCATCATGCTGCATAGAATTATCTTGTTTTTGAATATTTTTCAATGAATTCAATTTACGCCATACATATGATTGTACATTTGATGGTGTATCCAATATAACGCTCATATATCTTCGTAAATTTGATGTTGATTGTTGATGATTATTGTTGTTTATATCGGATGATCGATATTGTTTATTATCTGAAATTGTTTGAAAATTTGTTGTCGATTGTGATGATGACCATATTTTATCTTTTCGTTCTAATTTTCTATTCGGTGAAAATAATAACATTTCATCCGGATAATCATTAGCAGGTGTATTTGAAACAGTTGTTGATTTAAATGTTTGATGATGGTGATTTGGATTATCAATTAATAAATCTTGTGATGAAAAATCGGCAGAAAGACATTTAAAATTTGTTGTTGATGGAAATGATGATGATGGATGGTTGAATTGATTTGTGGACGTTTGATGCTTTGTAGTTACTGCTGTTGTCGTAGATGTGGCAGGACACTGATCATAGTTTGCTAATGATCGTTGATAATTAATTGATTGTGATTGAATCTGTGATTGATATTGATGACGATGATGATTACGAGCAATAGCTAATTGATTTTGAAAATATAATTTACGTTTTTCATGTGTAGATAATTTAAATAATGTTATCATTGAAAATAATGATATAATTATTGCTAATAATGATAAGGCAAATACAACACGTAATGAATCATATATAATACCATGAACTATATCACAATTCATTATTTCTTCCATAATAAAATGTTTGGAAGATGCTAAAATAAACAAAAGCAAGAAAATCAATAATGAAATAACATTAAAATCAATCCATTACCTTTGAATGAATTTGACAAAAGAATATCATTATCAATATCATCATCCTCATCATTATCATTATCATCAGCATTATTATCATTATTATCACTATCAATATTTTGAATATTAATCGATTGTAATTGATTGATTGATTGTTGTTGTTGTTGTTGTTGTAAATTAGATGAAACAGTACAGGCACAGGCACGTATACGAACATTATATGCACATTCACGATGTGAATTAAATCTTGGAAGATGTATAGCCGATGTTGTAATAGCAATAATTATCATTAATAATAATACCAATAAATAAAGACCACAAACAGATTTGAGCTTATCAGATTTTTTAAAAAACAAAAGAATTGAATTTACATTAATTATTAAACAAACAAACAATTTCTTCAACATACCAAATACATTCGTCGAGTATTTTTGTTCATAAATGCCATCAATGATAATCCATTACAAAAAAGCTAAACAAATTTCATAAAATTTGGGGAAAGAAACCCAAAAAAATATCCATTATTCAACATTATCAAAGATCGATAATTTATCTTAAACAAAATTACTTACAATCAATGATGGCATATATAATGGTACAGATTCTAAAAGATGAATAGACGTTGTATTTGTTCGAAATAAAATACCAAGTAAAAAAAGTGCCACACCAATAATCAAACTCATACAACCGAATAATAAACAAAATAAAACATAACGATAAATATTAAGAATGTAGAAAAAATGTCTAAATAATGATGGTGATGGAGTCAATTGTGTTGTTGTTGTTGTTGTTGATGTTGATGATAATATTGATGATGATAATTTCTTAGTTCGATCCATTAAATTAGATTTGCTCGTTGTTGTTGGCGGTGGTGGTGGTGGTCTCGAAGAAATCATTGTCTTTGCTATAGTCATCAAATTCTGTGGTGGTGGTGGTGGTGATGATGATACTGCTGCTGATAATTTGGCCATTATTCTTTGAAAATTAGATTTTAGCTATTTGAAAGAACAACAATGATAGCCATCATTAGAATCGAAATCAAAATAGACCAAAAAAAAAAAACAATTCTTATGATTCAATCAAATTTGAGTAACTGATTGACGATGAGGATGATGATTCGATTTTCGTTCGATTTCGAATACATTGTTAAGTTAATCAGAAAGGTAAACAAACAACAACAAAAAATTTGGTCGTCGTTTGGCCTTTTTTTTCTCCATTCATTATTTTCTTCAAGATTCTTTTCTTTTCTCAATTTTGTTTACCAATAACCAAATAACGAAAATAATGAGGACCAAATGGATCATGTATACAACTGGCGCGTACCACTTCTTTATTTTGGGATTCGAATTTTTGTTGTTTTTGAAAAAATATTTGGGTCATTCGATGGATGTTGTAACCCCAGAAAATGGTAAAATAAATAACGAACGTACGCCCAAATTCTCAAACATTTTCATATATATCAAAGGTTCCAGATAAATAATTGTATCGGTATTTTATCTACAAGTACTGCTACTTTGCGTATGTTTTCAACAAATACGGAAATACTAATAAAAACCAACAATAAAGATGCTTGATGCGAGAATATATAACTTGTTATTTTCAGGAGCGCACAATCAGGTTTGGATTTTCTTTATTTCTTGGTTCAACGGAATTTTCAACTATAGAATTATTCTCGGATTCCATTGCAATAACGATAACGACGAAAAAGACCACTGCCACCATCAATTATCAACACCCAAAAAAAATAATAATAATAAATGATAACGGGACCAACAAAAAAAAACGAGACAAATAATGAATGATTGAGATTAGAGAAAGAAGAAAAAGAAGAAAAAAAAGTCGACATTTATAACGACAACGATTATGATGATTATTATTATTATTGCTTTTGGCATTTTCGTTGAACGAAGGATTTAGTGAATGAAAGATTGTTGGTTGGTTGATGGTGGTGGTGGTGGTTGAAAACCATTAAGAATATTTTCTGGTACAAGTATATCGAATCGACAATAACCGAATGATGAATAAATTCAACCCGTTTTTTTCTTCATTTTCAAATGGTTTTTCCAAAAGTCCAATGATTTAGTTCAAATTCGTTTTTTTTGTTTTATGTTTCTTGTATTCGTTGCTCAACAAAAATTCCATTCGACAACCAAAAAAAACAATAAAACAATTCACGATTTTGGCTCGAAAAGTCCAATCGAATTTCATTTCATTTCAATTTTGATTCATTACACTATAATAATAATCATAAGCAATTTAATTTGATATGAATAAATTAAATTTGAATAATTTGAATTTATTTATAAAAACCTTTGAACATTCAATTGTCATAAATTGGGAGAGAAAGAAAAATATTATTTAACCAAATCGAATCGATCATTGTTTTTTCACAATATTTCGCCACACCCGTGAAAGATTTGGTTTTTTGGTTTTTCTGGTTTCTCTGGGCAATAAAATAAAGGTCCATAATATATCTTTCGGGTTATTCAAATCATCATAACAGAATGGTCATCAAATCGTTGTTTGCTTTGAAAATGAAAAAAAATTTAAAGAATTTTCTTTTTGGTTTCAATTTCGCTAAGAAATTCAGGCGGAAATTATCGAAGAAAACAAATCGGGAAAAAAATTTAGAAAAAAGTTTCCGGAAAACAATAGGTACTGTCATCATTGAATGGATGATTATTTTTTTTGGACATTCTTTTTCATTCTGAATATTAATCCGGTGTGCTCTCTTTTTGTTTTCAATTTATTTTCGAAAAAAAATAATGGATAATTTTTATGATTATCGTAATGATGATGATTATCCTTCAGATTATGAATCGGAATTGAAAAAATCACAAAATGATTATCGTAAACATAATCGTCAATCAATAAATTATGTGGTATTCACTTCAGACGAAGATGATAGTGATGATAATAATAATAATGATGATGATGATGAGGAATTTGATGAATTTTCTTTAGTCGAACGTTTTGACCAGTTAAATTTAAGTAATGATAATTCGTCAAATGATTCGGCTATCACGAATGTAAGTGAAATTATAGAAAACATTTTAAAAATAGTAAAAATATTTGATTTTTTATTAGTCATCATCATCATCATCACAACAAACGATTAATTCGGATATTTATTTGGATTTTCAGGAATGGTTTACCGAAGATGAATCAAATGATTCTGATGATACCGATGGTAAGATTTCAGATGAATCAAATGACAACGTTAAAGATGAAAGTTCAAAAACAAATTCAACTGAATCATGTACTGAAAAACGAAATTTCGAAATAATAAATGATGATAATGATGATGATAATGATAATCAACGGCAAAAACGTTTAAAATTACAAAATATTATCGATTCGAATCAATGTCAACAACATGAAACAACAACTATTGAAATTATTGTCAAAATCGATTCTCAAGATCATATGTCCAATGATGATTCTTTGAGTAATGTCAATGGTTCTATTCGTTCATCCAATTCGATCAATACTAATTCAACTGGCAATAAAACTAGTGATGAAAATAATAACATTTTAGTCGATAGAAAATCGAATTCAGTTGATAAGCAAGACAATGACAATCTTGATTCGAAACATAGTGAATGTAAAATTCCAAAAAATGAAACCACCGATAACACCGATAATTATTATGCTAAAAATGTAACTAATTTCGATACGACAAATTCTACGATTTCAAAAATGTCTTCCATTCATAAACGATCATCGAATCAATTTGCTCGAAAACGTATTCGTGAAATATATCATCATCGTGATTTAAATTTAAATACTCAAATAGCAATTGAAATGGAAGATGAACGTACAAAACGTATAATGGAAAAAAATCGATTATTAGATTTATTTGCCAAATCGGATTCGAATTCAGATTCACGTGTAATTTTAGAATTTGATCCGGAAAATGAAAAAGTATTACTTGAAATTGATCAAGGTATTGTTAAGATTTTAAAACCACATCAACGTAATGGTATACGTTTTATGTATGATTGTACAATTGAAACATTTGATAGATTATCATTGAATGATCAATCTGGCTGTATACTTGCTCATTCAATGGGATTAGGTAAAACATTACAAGTAGTTGCATTTTTACAGGCCATTATGAATAATCCGATCATCACTATACATATACGTAAAGTTTTAATCATCATACCGTTTAATGTACAAAAAAGTTGGATAGAAGAATTTTCTAAATGGAAAAATGAATATAATCAATATGAACCATTGAAAATTTATGATTTATCCGATGCTAAAACAATACCGCAACGTATTGAAGTGATGAAAAAATGGAATAAAAATGGTGGAATATTTTTACTTACAATCAATATGTTTCGTAATTTGATTATGGGAAAAAGTCCTAAATTGAAACCAGTGATTTCATCAATGGAAAAATATTTACTTAATCCTGGTCCTGATATGGTTATTTTTGATGAAGGTCATTTATTGAAATCAAACACAAGCCAAATCAATCAGGTTGCATCAAAAATTCGTACACTTAGACGAATAATTTTAACTGGTACACCGATGCAAAATAATTTAGGTGAATTTTATGTTATGGTTGATTTTATTAAACCAAATCTTTTGGGAACAATCGATGAATTTCGAAATCGTTTTGAAAATCCAATCAAAAATGGACAACATATTGATTCAACTAGTATGGATGTTGCACGAATGAAAAAACGTGCATTTGTTTTGCATAAAATGTTATCACATTGTATTAATCGTTGTAATTATAAAGTTCTTGTACCATTTTTACCACCTAAATATGAATACGTGCTTTATCTTCGATTATCTCCAATTCAATCAAAATTGTATAAAAATTTCCTCCGTAATTTAAATGGTGATTATCAAAATTTACTTGGTGATTTTTGGAAATTATCTAAACTAAATAATCATCCAATATTGTTTTTAACTTCAAACGATGAAGATTTTGGTGTTAATTCTGATAATAATAATGAAGATGATGATGATGATGATGATGATAATGATGATAATGGTAAAAAAAGTAAAAAAAAATCTAAATTGAAAACCAAAACAATCGATAATAATGATGATGAACATAAAATAACGGTTACGGATTCTGGATTATTAAATGATGAAGAAATGAAAAATTTAGAAAAAATTGAATCAAGTGTTAAATTTACAATTGCATTTGCTATACTTGATTATTGTCAAAAAATTGGTGATAAATTATTGATTTTTTCACAAAGTCTACGTACTTTAGATCTGATTGAAAAATCATTAAAATCAATAAAAGGTGGTGAATGGAAAAAAGGTATTGATTATTTTCGTATCGATGGTCAAGTAAAAATTGGTGATCGAGTTAAAGGTACTAAACTTTTAAATGATCGTGAAAATAAACGTGCACGTTTAATGTTAATTTCAACACGTGCAGGTGGTATTGGTATTAATCTTGTCGGTGCAAATCGTTGTATAATTTTTGATTGTTCATGGAATCCGGCAAACGATGTACAAGCTTTGTTTAGAGTTTTTCGTTTTGGTCAATTAAAACCTGTGTATATTTATCGTTTAGCCGGTTATGGTACAATGGAAAATCGTATTTATCAACGACAAATTTCAAAACAATCAATATCAGGTCGTGTTGTTGATCTGAAACAAATTCGACGTTATTTTACCCGTATGGAATTAGAAGAATTGTATACATTTATTGAAAAACCGGATAAAATTATTATACCAAATGTACCTGATGATCAATTATTGGCAAAAATATTAAAACAATATTATCAACAAATAATTTCATATCATGATCATGATTCATTACTTGAAAATTTACCTGAAGAACAATTAACAAATGATGAAAAAATTCGTGCATGGATTGAATGGAAAGAAAAATCGGATGAAAATCCCATTCAAAATAATAACGATAAATATGTGTTAAAATCAAACAACAACAACAACAACAACAACGATAATAAAATTACAACAACAAATGATCCACCTAAAATCGACGATCATAATCATTATACATTGAAAGAGTAAAATGTCAACAACAACAACAACACATAAGAATGATCAATTATTATTGATCATACGAACGAAGAAGAATCAACGAAATAAATAATACCGACGGGGATATTTTGTAAAGATTCATTCATTATGTAAAAAAAACTTTGTGAAAAAAAATGTTTTTTGAATAAAAAAAATGATTATTATTATTTTGGAAAAAGTAAAAAAAAAATCTTATTTACCATGAATACTGTGATAGAGATATATTTTACCTTAGTCAGTTTTTTTTCTGGTCTGGATTTCACACATTAATTTTACTTTTTTTTGGGGGGGTTCTTTCTTACAAATGATGATTGATTATTTTTGGTCGAACAAAAAGCCAAAGAAATAGCGTGATATTATCGACAAACGAGAACAGCAAAGAAAAAAAATCAACACAGAATAAACCAGAATGTGTGAGAGAAAAGAAATATTCAATCATCATCATTCGATTTTTTTGATTTCAAATAGAAAATATAGAAATGTAAATGAGAAAACCAACAAACCATTTTTTAATGATACATTTTCTTCGGTTGTTGTTGTTGTTGTTGTTGATGGCCAATTATCAACATCTGACGTTCTTGGAGATCTAAATCGTAAAAGATTTTCATCGGAAAAGTTTTTTTTCAAATTAAAAACAATCGATTTTGGTTGTGCATTGAAATTTTTTTATTATTATTATCATTATTTTGATTTAATTTGTCCAACAAAAAGAAAAAAAACTGAAATAAAAATAATTTTTTTCTCCCCCTTCATAAGCATCGAAATATATAGTGAGAGAGAGATAAGCACCAACCAGAATATTCTTGGCTGTTTGTTTGTCTTGGTGTGTGTGTGTTTCTGTGTGAGAAATTTCTTGATATTCAAGTAAGAAAAAAACATCACTAAAAAGTTAACAATATTTGTTGCAAAAGAAAAAAATTGAATGTTTGAAAATTGAAGAATATTTGTGAAAATAAATAAAAATTGTGAAACATTCATTATTATTAGGTGTGTGTACACGTGTGTGAAACAAGTTCGTTCGTTATTTTCGTTATTTTTTAAATATTGTAATTAAAAAACAGAATGAAAACAAAGAAAAAATATTGATGCCAAAAAAATAATGTAAAATGTTTGTATCCTTATTCTTCGCACCCATATTGTTTGTTTTTTTTCGTTTTGCATTTGCTTCTGCATAGACAACCAGAAGAATTGAAAAAAGGGTTGAAAAAAAAGTTCAATAAAGTTTGCATTTCATTAATCAATTTACTAATACTATTATTATGATTCGGATTGTCCATTTTGTTGATCAGTTGATTCATCATCATCATCAATTATTGGCTGTTGTTGTTTCGATTTCAATTCTTCTAAACGTCATTGAAAAAAAATATAATGAAACAAGAAAACGAGAAAACAAGAAATGTTAGTTTTTTTTTCGCTTTTTAAATTATTCATGATGATATAATGAACGAAGAACGTTGAAAAAGGAAAAAAGAAAATACTGTTGATTAGATTTGTTTGCAATGATGGGCGAATAGGTAAATGAATGGCTTTTTGATCACCGTTTTTCTTAATCACCATTCCTTATGAATACATTTTGTGATTGATTAACACCAACAACAACCATCTATAGTTGAATTTGTTATGCTATGTTGTTTGGGAAAAAAGCGACATGCAGCAATCTGTAATTCTGTAATTCTGTAGTACCATCAATGTTGTTGTTGTTGTTAAAAGTGATTAAAAGGAATTCATTATTCTGTTTTTCTCTGTGTTTTCTGATCATTATCGATTCATTCATTTTCATTAATTAAATAAAACTTAATAAGGGTAACACCATCTTGAAAATCGAATCGAAAAACAAACATATAAACATTCATTATAACTTCATTACAAGTGGATTTTTGTTGTTGTTGTTGTTCATTTTCAAATCATCACACCTTTAACATGTATTTATAATCATCAAGTTTTTTTTTGATTAATATTACCATCATACCTTCAAATGCTGCTTTTTGTTGCCATTTAGATTTATTCTGATCTAAATGTTGTAACCATGGACGATATAATTTTCTTGTTGAACTATTTATAACCATATTGAATATAGGTGCTGTTGTTGTTATCACAGTGGCTGATGAATTTGTTGTTGTTGTTGTTGTTGATATTTGTTGTTGTTGTTGTGGTTGTTGTTGTTTCAAGGCCAAAGATCTATTTGAATTTTTTAAAAAATAAATTCATTAAAATATAAGAATTTTCAAATCAAGAAAATTTCAAACCTAAATTCTGAATCATTATCATTATCATTATCATCATCATTGGAAGACTTTTGATCATCACCATTACCACCAACATCTTCATCGATTATATCCACTGAAGTAGTGGCCATTGTTGTTGTTGTTGTTGTTGTCGATACTGTCATTGTTGTTGTTGATGCGGATGCATTGGGTAATGGTGATGATGATGAATTTAAATGTTCATAAACACGTTCAATAAGATCACCACAAAGTTCCATTGTTGGATAGACAATAAATTCGATAAAACCTTTTTTTTAAGAATATTAAAAAAAATTATTCCCCGTTATCAATCTTGCTACGTAAGTGTTAAACAAAAAAAAACAGAATAACATACCAATCTGTGATTGAGGTATCAATGTTGAATTACGATCACATAATGGAGAATAGGCAAGACCTAATTCACGTTCCATATCGCCCTATGTTTTGTTTTGTTTTGTTTTGTGTATGCACAGTGTTAAACGAGATTTTCAATTCAAATTCAACGACAACCAAAACAAAAACAACAAAAGAGAAAAGAGAAAAACAAAAAACAAATGAATAATTAATCAAATTCAAATTTATAAAAACAAAAGAAGAAGGAAGGAAGAAAGGAAGGAAGAAAAATTCATTTAATGATAAAATGACCTTATTATATGCATCAAACAAAACAAACAGCGAAAAAACTGTCAACAATGGGCTATGATTTTCATTCAGTGTTTATTTCTACTTTTGTTGTTGTTGTTGTTGTTGTTGTTGTTGTTGTTGAGAAAAGTAAATAGGATAAACTTGATAACTTTATCATTATAAGATTATTATTTCATATTAATTCATCTTCTTCATATCTGAACTTTTTACTTTTACTTTTTTGCTTTAATGAATTCCCTTTTGTTTTCATCTCATTATCATCATCCAGTTCAATTCAATTCAAATTCAATGTGAAATAATCAACGATTTTTTTTTTGATCGACGAACCGAAAGATCAAAAACAATGCGAAAAAAATATATACACGAAATTGGATTACTTTTTTTTATTTGTTCCAATTCTATTCTTTTTCCCGAAATCTTTTTTTTTGTGAATATCTTTCACCTTGTTTTCACTGAGTTTGTTCAATGAAACAAAAAAAAACTTTACTTTAGTCTTTCTCCAGTATCAATTTTTTCTTTCTTTTTTTTCGGGCCATTTTTTTTTTTTTTTTTTGGGGGGTTCACTTTTACTTGTATAAAACATGCTATCATTTTATCATTTGAATCATTCAATTGGAAAATTATGAAGAACTTTTTTTCTATTGTTTTTTGGCCAGTTTTCGTTTTGTTTTGTTCAATGCATCAACAACATTTCAATAGCCAAAAGTTTTTTGTCTTTTGCATTCGTTGATCCGGTGTATAATTTGTGAATTTTGTTTAAACAAATAAATTAATAATGAATAATTAAAAAAAGGTTACCTGTCGAAAAAATTCTTCCATCAACAATAATGTCCAACGTTGATGTAGATCAAAATTTTTTGATGGATGTGATATATCGGCACTATGTAATATATATGATAAACCTTTTTGTTTATCTAAAACAAAATCCTGATGTCCAAGAATTGTTTTCAATGTTTTTATCTGTTGAAAATGTGTTGACATATCAGTTGCAATAACCATTTCAATAATTAATGAACGAAATTCTCTGCGTTATGTTTTTTTTGTGTGTAAAATAATGAAGAAAAAAAAAGTTGCATTTTAAAAGTTTTGTTTTGTTTTTCAAATTTAAAAAACAAAGACAACAACACATTACCTATATTCTTCACGACTTAGATTAGCAACAATATTTGCATCATCTTTACGCATCACTCTAAATGCTTCGGAAATGTGAAAATTTTCCAATACTGAACGATCATTATACAGAAGGCTTATTTCCGATCTATAACCATACAAAATAACAAAAAATAAAAATGAAAATTTTTTTTTTATTCAAATTTGATTAATGATGATGATGATTAGTTTTTTAGTTTCACACACAGCAGTTTTAAACCGAACAAAAACAAACATAAAGCAAACATACCCGGACATGATATGAAAATTATTTGTTGTACCAGTATGTTGATAATCATGTATAATAGCAGCAACTAATGTAGCAAATATTTCCAAATCGGTCAACCATTGCTTCAAGGGTAATTTATTGATAGATGGGATAGATGGTTGGATGGATGGATGGATGGATGGTAAATTGAATATGATAAAAAATTAATAATCAATTTTCAACAATGAAAAATTTCGTTTTTTCTATTTATTTACCACATACACACACACACACAAGGAAAATTGTTTTAAATTTAGAAACAAAGTATATATACTTGATACAAAAGAGAGATTGTTTCCAAAATAACGAAACTAATCTTCTTTTTTTTCACATATAGTAAAGTAAAACATAATGAATGATTTACTTGAAGATAAAAGAAAAAAAATAAACGATGGATATGCCTAAAGGCTTCCAGCAATCAAACTAGCAAGCAACTTTTAATGATAAAAATTTCATTTTTCCCCATATACATAGACAAATATGAATTATACATTATCCAAATAATAAAAATCATCTATTTTTTTCTTGGTTATCATTTGTGGATGCTTCTGGTTGTCTTCATCATCATCATCATTGTCATCATCATCATCATCATTGCTCCCTATACTATCTGACTATCTGACTATAATGTGCACTTGCAATTTGTAATTATAGCTCGAGAATTCTCTCATAATAATGTTTGATAGATATGAATAGAAATATAGAAATAACCAAAAAAAAAGAGAATATAGCTTGAATCATATGATGATGATGATGATATTTTATTCATTTAGTAACTTCTATCGTCGTCATCAATTATAATTTCAATTGACGACAATATTTTTTTTTCGTTTTCATTTTTCTCTGGAAACCGGATTATAATAATACTTTATATTTCTATTTTCAACAACTGTATAGCTGTTTAGCCTGAAGCTTATTTTTCTTTTCTTTTGCTTTTTTAAAAGGCTGAATAAAGAACTTTTTTCCTAATGTTATTTGAAAACAGTAAAGGGATTTTTCAGTTGGATGGGGTTGTTCAAATCAATTTTGAATTTTGGAAATTTTTAAGATTTTAATTTTTTTTATTTCTTGTTAAATGTAGTTGTTCGTTGTCAAAAAAGAAAGAGAGAAATACTTACTGCCAATCCAGTAACCCATAATAAATAATGGACGGTTTGTGTTACATCAGCTGCATGTAAATTATTATGATATGGATTTTGATATTTTTGATAACCTAATTCTACTTGTGATAAAAATGAATCAAGATTACTGGTTGGAATCTGTGTTTCGGAAAAGAAGAAATAGAAAATGAATGAATGAATGAAATGTTTATGGAAATTTTTCTGTTTGTTTTTTTTGAATACCTTAAATTTATGTATAAGACCATAACGATTCAAAAGATCAGTTGCTAGATTACGTAATACTTTTCCTTGTTGTAAATGATTTAATTGAAATACATCAAATGACCATTCATCTGCACCCTGTAATTGATTTGTAATACAAAAAAACAATAGTGAAAAATTACAGAATTTTCTGAATTTAAAAGAAAAAAAAAATACAAACTTTAAGAAAACTTGAAATTTCCGGAGCAATCTGTATGGTTGTTGCGCTAAATAATCGTCGATAAATTCTATGAAAATAAATAATGATTTGTTAAATGATTTGTTACCGAAACGAAAAACAAAAACAAAAACATATACCTATCAACCATAATACCAGCACGTATAGCATTAGCAACTGAACGAAATTTTGGTTTATCATCAGTACGATTACGTGATGAAACCTGATTTCTTGTAAATGTTGATGTAAGCCATTCACGTACTTCACTTGGTACTGCATCCGGTTTTACTTCAGCCAATTCATCTTCTTCATCCAATAAACGTCTGTTTGTTGTTTTAAATCGTATTGATGAACAGAAACAAACAAAGCAAAAAGAAAAGCAAATTTCAATTAGAAAATTTTGTTAAATTTTTTCTCAATAAAAACGATAAAGAAAATTCTTTAAAATGCTTCGATTCTGTTCTTTTTGTGTTTTTCTGTGTTTCACAAGCTTTGGAAAGCTGGAACCAAAAATTTTTATCACTGATAAATTTTATTGCTATTTGGTTTTATTTTACGGAAAGTTTTTCTACGAAAAACTAATCTGGATAACTAATCTCCTTAGCTTAACTTTTTTTTACGATAATTTTTTCAAATTGAAAAATGAAAACTGTTGTCTTTTATATTCTCAAGCTTAGTGGTATTTTTATTTTCTCCTTTCAAAAATTGAAAATTGTTTTTTATTTCGGGAAAGTTTTTCGGGAAATGTTTTCCGGAATGTTTTTAGGAAATGTTTTTAGGAAATGTTTTTAGAAAATGTTTTTAGGAAAATTTTTTAGAAACCTTGAATCTTTATCCGTCATTAATTTGTTCATATTGCTTGATGTATTATTATTATTATTATTATTATTATCAATATTTTCATCATCAACATCGACAACATTATCATCATTGTCGATGTTATCATTATCATTTATTGTTTTTTTCTGTGGATCAACTTGATCAAGTATAACTTTTTTAACCGAATCGGTTGTTATTGTAATTTTTGATTTTTGATTTGAATTTGGCATCAATTTTATTGAATCATTATTATTATTGGATTTTGATTGAAAAGGCAGTGAATATTGGCCAATTTTATTTGTTATGGAAGAAGATTCATTGGCCACATTTATCATTGTTTTTGATGATGATGATGATGGTTGTTGCGATTGTGTTTGTGAAAAATTGGAAGATTTTATTGATGATGATCCTAATGATGATGATGATGATAATGGTAAAGGCGGTGATGCTGATGATTGACTTCGTAATAATCTTGGACCTGAATTTGTTGTTTGTGCTGTTGTTGTTGCAGATGTTGCAACTGCTCCATGTCCAAAACGATGATGATGTGGATAACGATGTTGATTATGATGATAATAATGATGATGATGTTGTTGCTGCGTTTGTTGTTCAATCAATTTACATCGACGTCTATGAAGTTTTTGTTTTTTTTTTTTAGTTATAAAAGATTTAATTTAATAAATTTTTAATTTAGTAAAATTTTAAAATTTGTTGTTTTTAGATTTTATTAATTAATTAAATTTTTAGTATTTTAGGTAAAATTAATTACAACATTCACATTAATATCTATCTATCTATTTAGTCACACATTATATAATTAGCAAGAAGCGAAAAATTTTTTTTTTTCATAAAAAACAAATAAATTATCCCTAAATGGAGATAGAGAATGGAAAATGGAAAAGCGTGTGTGTGTATTTGTATACACAAAACATACCTTGTTTCATCCATACTAACTGTATCCAAAACATATGCAGCATATTGAAATGTTTTCTGTAAAACTTCATTCGGTATGTCACCATGTTCCAAATGTTTGGCCAATTCACGAAGTCTAGAATAGAAATAGAAACGTAAAAAGTAAAAAAAAAATTAGTCAGATTAACAAAGACAATGGAAATTCAAATTCATCATTCTATTTTTTTGCTTTTGAAGTTTGTTTTTTTTCAAAGGGGGAGGAAAAACAGAATATAACATTTTTCGGCCATAACAGAATATAACATTTTTCGGCCATAACAGAATTTCGCTGATGATGATGCTGACACAATGTTTTATTTTTATTCTTTTTTTTGGTGTCGGAAAGATTTTCATTTGTTAACTTTTTTCTCTCTCTCTCTATTCTGTGGATATAAATCATTTCAAAATAACTGATGCTATTGGAAAAACTGATGATGAAGCAAAAGTTCAAATTCATTTCAACAACGACCAACGACCGAAAAAAAACTTGTCCATTTTATTGGGGGGAAACCAGTTTTTGTGATTATCATTTTTGTTTTTGTTTTTGTTCTTCGGTCGGGTCTACCATAATTTCGCACATTGATATTTGCTTGATGGTTTTTTTTTTGTTGGCTGCCTATCGAATATTGTTAAATTGTAGCCGATTTATGGCAGTGAAGCCAACATTTTTTTTTAATTTCACGATGAAAACGAGTGAAACAAAAAAAAAGTTTCGGATAACACTCTCTTGAAAAAAATTGAGAAATTTTCTAGCAACTTTTTTCTGGAAACTTTTTTTTTGTAATTATGAAAAAAAAACTAACCTTGCTGCCGCTTTATCACAAACTTCTAATGTATCGACAATTGGTTCAAAATTTTGTTGTTGTTGTTGTTGTTGTTGTTGAGGATGACCACCACCAGCGCCACTGGCCAAAGATTTTTGGGAAATTACAGAATTTGATTGCTGTTGTTGTTCTTTCGTTGTCATTGTTAATGATTGTTGTTTTTCTTTATCCAATGTTTTTTCAGCTTCCAACAACATTTTATCATCCGGTGGTTGTTCAGTAGAACTTTGTGGTTTAAATACTAGAGGAGAAACGAAAAAAAAAACGTAACAATTAAATATTTTATCATCAGACTTTAACATCAATTTCGAAATAAAAAAAAATTAGACAAAAATAGACAATGTAATGGGATAACAAAATTGATTTGCAGTCAAAAAGATCAAAGAACTTTTTTCATTACTCTTTGCCCACACACACACACAAACACACATTCTTTGTCCAATCCTGAAGCCATGGAAAATTTGAAAAGTTTTTTATTTTTCCCCCCCCAAAAAAAACAGTATAAAACAGACATAGACAGACAGACAAACACAAAGGAAAAAAAAAATTCCAATAAAAATGTTAATTGGAACCATTTTGAAAATTGTCAAAAATACCAAAATGAAAACATTCAATTTCCAACGAAATTCCATCATTGAATTGAATTGAAATGAATTGAATTGATTTTTTCTCTCATTCTTTCATTCATTCTCAATTAAAAAGCGAAGAAAAGAATGGAAAGAATGAAAGAGCAGCAGCAACAATCGATAAACAATTCAAAACAAAAAAAAAATGTCAAAAGGTACATTGAATTTTTTTTTCTTTTCAAGTTTTTCATTCGTTTCATTTCATTTTATAATGATCAACCAAACAACCAAAACAACCCAAACAGCAATCAAAATTTTCGAAAAAGAAGAAAGAAAAAAGTCTATTGGACCGTAAGCAAGTTATAATTATTTTCCAAAAAATGATTTTTTATTTTCTGTTTTGTTTTGTTTCATCTTCATTGTTGTTGTTGTTAATGTTGTTACACAATCATCATAATTACATAATAAAAGATTTTTTGTTTTGTTTCTAAGCATCATTATTTTAAAATTGAAAAAAATGAAAATTTTCGCTGTTGTCCTGGAATCATGTTAAAATGGCATTTTGATATACTTTTTTTTGAAAAACACACACACACACACACACATCTTTTGTATCACGTTTTGGTTTGTTTGTTGACTTATGAAAATAACATTAGAAAAATAAGATTCTTTTGGTTAGTTTTTCATTTTCGCTTTTTCTGATTACACAAAATGTTTATCTCACACATATATCACACACACATAAACATGAAAACATGAAACATGGACATTTTTTTTCTTTTGGGGTTTTCTCCCCTTGTGATTTGTATTGATTGAATTCAATAATTCATTCAAATCAATATCAGGATTTTGTTTGTTTTTTTTGACTTTTGGTTTACATCATTATTCTTTCATTGGGCCAGATTTATTTGATGTTTTTGTTGTTGTTGTTGTTTGCAAGAAACATTCATTTCTCCTTTTTTGAGAAAGAAAAAAAAAGGACATTTTTTTCTGTTTGCAGGGCATTATATAATCGTTTTTTATTCGTTGTAATGATGCAAATGGATGAAAAACTTTTTAGGGAAAATTTCTTTTCCCTTTTCTGGAAAATGTCTAATGGTGATGATAACCATTTGCTGTTGTTTTCAGGGAAAATTTTCCATTTTTTTTCTCATCAACAACATTTTTTTTAACCCGGCGTTTTTATCAGAGGGAAAAAAATAAATTATGAAATTCAAAAAAAAGTTTTTTTCCAGAATAATAAAAAAAAGGTTTAAAAAGGTTCTGTTTTATTTCAATAACAGACATTCATTTTTTCAGGAAAAGAAAGAATGATGTGCATCATTAAAATGATGGAATGAATGGAAAGAAAAATTCTGTTTATACGAATAAAGTATACCATAATCATCATCATTTTTGACGAAAAAAAAATATTCAAATTCAAACAATTGCTGAAAACATCCTTAAAAAGATTTACAAAACAAAATTGATGGCAAAACGAAAATCTTATCTGATATTGTCATATATTGTGAAGAAGTAAAATAAGAAAGAAAAAAGAATCCTGATAATAATAATAATGATGAGGATGCATACCTGTGTAGGAAATATTTACTTTTTTTTTCAACAAAATTTCTTTCATATGCACTATTCACTTATTCAATCGTTTATGGGCTCTGTTTTCTATCATCAATGAATAAAAAGAATGAAAAGAATAAAAAATCATCATCATAATAATGATTTTTTATTCTTTTCTTCAAAAAAAAGAATATTTCTCTCTCTCTCTCTCTCTCTCTCTCTCTCTCTCTCTCTCTTTCTCTCT